GTCTGCAATGATATATAGACATATTTGCATGTGTAATACATAATCTGTGTCATATTCTTTCTGTATTAATTTTTGAAGAATGATATTTTCTGTAGTTGGATGCATGTGGGGATCTCAGATGTTTTTGTTTATTTCGTTGATGCTTAGGGATATTGGGTCTAGGCAGGGACAGAGAGAATCCACAGGAGGGTCCGATGGGTCGACTAGCCTGAATGTGGACAAATTTGATTGTATTTTGTTTTCTGAGGCTTTCATGTGTATTCAATTGCATCATAATTTAAAATGCATTGATAAAGATTTATGAATTGATCTGAAGTACTTAAGTGGTTGCCTGGGGCCGAGGGGCCGTGAGAGAATTTTACTGTCTTGATTGATTGATTGATACAGTGGGGGAAAAAATTATTTAGTCAGCCACCAATTGTGCAAGTTCTCCCACTTAAAAAGATGAGAGAGGCCTGTAATTTTCATCATAGGTACACGTCAACTATGACAGACAAATTGAGAATGTTTTTTCCAGAAAATCACATTGTAGGATTTTTAATGAATTTATTTGCAAATTATTGTGGAAAATAAGTATTTGGTCACCTACAAACAAGCAAGATTTCTGGCTCTCACAGACCTGTAACTTCTTCTTTAAGAGGCTCCTCTGTCCTCCACTCGTTACCTGTATTAATGGCACCTGTTTGAACTTGTTATCAGTATAAAAGACACCTGTCCACAACCTCAAACAGTCACACTCCAAACTCCACTATGGCCAAGACAAAAGAGCTGTCAAAGGACACCAGAAACAAAATTGTAGACCTGCACCAGGCTGGGAAGACTGAATCTGCAATAGGTAAGCAGCTTGGTTTGAAGAAATCAACTGTGGGAGCAATTATTAGGAAATGGAAGACATACAAGACCACTGATAATCTCCCTCGATCTGGGGCTCCACGCAAGATCTCACCCCGTGGGGTCAAAATGATCACAAGAACGGTGAGCAAAAATCCCAGAACCACACGGGGGGACCTAGTGAATGACCTGCAGAGAGCTGGGACCAAAGTAACAAAGCCTACCATCAGTAACACACTACGCCGCCAGGGACTCAAATCCTGCAGTGCCAGACGTGTCCCCCTGCTTAAGCCAGTACATGTCCAGGCCCGTCTGAAGTTTGCTAGAGTGCATTTGGATGATCCAGAAGAGGATTGGGAGAATGTCATATGGTCAGATGAAACCAAAATAGAACTTTATGGTAAAAACTCAACTCGTCGTGTTTGGAGGACAAAGAATGCTGAGTTGCATCCAAAGAACACCATACCTACTGTGAAGCATGGGTGTGGAAACATCATGCTTTGGGGCTGTTTTTCTGCAAAGGGACCAGGACGAATGATCCGTGTAAAGGAAAGAATGAATGGGGCCATGTATCGTGAGATTTTGAGTGAAAACCTCCTTCCATCAGCAAGGGCATTGAAGATGAAACGTGTCTGGGTCTTTTAGCATGACAATGATCCCAAACACACCGCCCGGGCAACGAAGGAGTGGCTTCGTAAGAAGCATTTCAAGGTCCTGGACTGGCCTAGCCAGTCTCCAGATCTCAACCCCATAGAAAATCTTTGGAGGGAGTTGAAAGTCTGTGTTGCCCAGCGACAGCCCCAAAACATCACTGCTCTAGAGGAGATCTGCATGGAGGAATGGGCCAAAATACCAGCAACAGTGTGTGAAAACCTTGTGAAGACTTACAGAAAACGTTTGACCTGTGTCATTGCCAACAAAGGGTATATAACAAAGTATTGAGAAACTTTTGTTATTGACCAAATACTTATTTTCCACCATAATTTGCAAATAAATTCATTAAAAATCCTACAATGTGATTTTCTGGATTTTTTTTCCTAATTTTGTCTGTCATAATTGACGTGTACCTATGATGAAAATTACAGGCCTCTCTCATCTTTTTAAGTGGGAGAACTTGCACAATTTGTGGCTGACTAAATACTTTTTTCCCCCACTGTATTTGGAAAGAAAGCTGCCAGACAGGTTTTTCGCTCTCACACTCCATAAAGATTTGTTCATATTTCATAGAAATGTATTTACACTCCATAGAAAAATGTGTTTACTCTCCATAAAATTTGGTTTATTGCTAAAGTTACTCAATAAGAGAAATTGTTATTTGTCATAATCCTATTATTTTTGTTTTCGAGACTTAGTTAGTCTCGAAGGGGGGAAATATGTAGTATCTAGACAATTTATGACTTTGCTGACGTTTGCAGATGGGGTCTTAGAGGATGTTGACTCAGCTTGAGGAAGCATCTGGAGAGCATTTCTATAGGGGCACCCTAAAACAGAGGAAGTCTGTTATGTGGCGTCCTGGGATTGGTCTGTGGGGGAAAACACCCATATCAGGTTACATAGGATATATATACATTGGTTGGGACAAAGGAGGGGAGAATAACATATTAAGAGATTGGGCCAGTTGTTCTCCAGATGTCTGCAGAAGTCTGTAAATTGGCGCTGAAATCTTCAATGTAATAAATAATTATAATCGAGGACAGTGTCAGCGGATTTCTTGTCATCACAGCATCTCAGCATAGTTTTCTCGACACTACACATATCTATTCCTACCAGCTCTCACAGTCTCACATCAGAATTAGACTTTCATCCACGTTTCTCAAACTTCAAATTTCGAAGTTGTTCCAAATGTCACATTTGGAAGTGTTTAAGGTTAAGTTTAGGCATTAACTCCAAAGGTAAGGGTTAAAGTTTGGGATAGGCTTAAAACAAAAATATCAAGAACAACTTTCTATCGCTGGATTCGAACATGCAACCTTTAGAATCAGAGGCAGATGCTTACACAACACCCTAGCAAAACCCAAACCTACTTAAAGGTAACAGCATTCACTGTTGCCCCTAGTGGCCTATTTCCACTTCATGTCCCGACCGACGTCGTCAGAGATGGATGGACATCGAGTACTGGCTTGTATCACGGGGTGATAACAACTCCAGGATAATATTTGTTCAATTCATGTGAGCAAAATATATTTCATTTTATTTGGAATGGCAAACCAAATTAAGTTATATGAGTTTGGAGGGCTAAAACTATTAAATATAAAGTCATTAAACCTCTCTCTCTTAAAGCTTTATACCTAAAATGTAGCTAAATCCAAACTGTGTTTCCAGTAGGCTACTAAGAAAGGCACATCCGATGTTTGAAAGGGGTCTCCTTGCTTTTATATAGATTAAAACCATTCATTTCCGGTGGATTGACAATGGAACCCTGTTGTATCCTTTTTAAATGAAGCCATACAGAGTTGGCTACTATTTAAATGTTATCCTCCAGAGGAGGCAGAATGTAGGCTATATTACAGCAAATAATATGGCTAATCTCCAAAGTACTGATGGAGGAAAAAGCGATTTTCTTGTAGAGAATGTATAAGGAAGGTATCATGTTTATGAATGACATTGTAAACAACAAAGGTCAAATTATGTCACACAAGTAATTAATCACGGTGTAAGGAAATGAATGCTCAATGCAAAATTATAACCAGTTCATCGCAGCTCTGCCACAAAAATGGAAGAGGCAATTACTTAAAAGAGAAAGGAATGAATTAATCGTAAATGTCTTAAAATGACCAATATAAATCGTAAAATGTATCAGTTTCACTTATGGTCAAGAGGGTTGACAACTATGCCGCATAAAATTCAAGATAGTTGGGAACAGATTTTCGATATCCCAATACCATGGCATCAGATTTATGAAGTGATATACAAAGTAACAATTGAAGCATCAATCCGTTCTTTTCAATTTAAGCTATTATATAACATTCTCGCTACAAAAAGAATGCTCAGTATATGGGGCATTGAACAGTCAGCCCTGTGCAGACTGCCACAAGGAAACAGAATCAATAGAGCATCTCTTTTGGTACATCAGTGGCTTGTTTTTGGAGTCAGGTCCAGGAATGGTTGTTACCATGGGTAACACTGGGTGCACATTTTGGGTTTTTTCACTAGTACTACACATCTCATTCAAATAACAAACTCATCATCGAGCTTTGATTATTTGCATCAGCTGTGTAGTGCTAGGGCAAAAACCAAAATGTGCACCCAGGAGGGGCCCCAGGACAAAGTTTGGGAAACCCTGCCTTACGGTATTGCCCAGGGACACAGTGATTTATGGCAAAGTGGTGGATTGTGGACATGCACCTGTCATGGAGGAACAGCCAACTCCTCCACTGCCTGATGTCAGAGTAGCCCACCATTGTCCCGGGGAACATTCGGACTACCTCCAAATCAGCTCGCAACTGACGCACCAGGGTTGTCCCCTTTGTGTGTCCTAAGTCGTTTCCACTGAGGTGGATGACTATGATATATTCACGGTAACACCTCGCTTTGGCAAGAGAGAATATTTCAGAACCCTTCCATTGAGAACAGCTTAGCCATATTTCGCGCCCCTGTAGTCATCTAGCCAGCTACATTGTGTAATCGCATAGTAAATATTTGCTTCAGTCTTTGTTTCCTTGCTCTCACCAATTTGCTTTGAGCAATGATCAGTCTGATTTTGAGCTGGGATCTTATCAATAAATAAAACACACAACATTGTGAAGGTTGACAAAGAGAGCATGTGTTAAGCTGTATTATCATGTTGCATAATCACCTTCCGGGAGTAAAAACCATGGAAATTAAATACAAAAAACTAAGTTTAAGTGAGAATAGGCATTGGTCTGAAGCTGAAAAATTAAGGATATTCACATGAGCACCACATGAGTCTCAAAGAAACCCCTAAAAAAAACAAGCACTGGTGTTAAAAATCTTGTTTTATTCAAATTCAGCAGTCCACGTGTTTGTCAATTCACAAACTGTCCACGAAATTTGTCTGGTTTCCATAAAGCTCTGATCATTTTTCGTATTTATTATTGCATAAAATCATTTGTTTTCCTAGACATAATTTTACATGTAATAATTTGTATTTTCTTATAAATTAATAAGAATTTTCAATAAAGCTCCAATGGCTCACTGCAGGCGTAGCATCAGAATATCCGGCAACACTTCTGTTCCTCGGGGCAATGGCCATCTTGGTAACAGTACTCGGCACACATCTAGGTCCCCTTGGGCAGGGCACAGCGACCGGGCTTCACTATGGTAACAGAGAAAAAGCGGTCAGTTACACCGTAGAAACATAGGTGTAATAGGAATTTCTAGGTAAACAAACGAGAAAAGCAGTAGCAGATTAAGTCAATCAAATCTATCCATAATAAATCTATCCATATAAAAGTAAAATGTATGTAAAATGTATATGTAAAATGTATGTATATGTAGCAGAAAAGCTGTAAAAACCAAAAAAGATATGTGTCCTTCGAAGACGTGGATGGGTTAATAATAATAATTTTTCATTAATGTTTATTACAAGTTGCAACAGGGAGACACTTCCAGGACAAAAACAGAGAAAATGTCTAACTGGCTTCTTGGAGACAGGCCCTTTCTATTCTAATCAGACAGCACCAAATGTTCTGTAAACTCCAGCTCTAGAGGCTTGTAGGAAGTCAAAACAAACATGCAGTGACTTTGTCAGCTGCTACAGAGTCACACAGTGTTCATAGAATGTCATCAGTACAATACAACAGTGAATAATCAGTGTGTCCTCGGCTCTTGTACCTCCAGTCTGGCGTCAATCACTATCAACAGATATGAGAACAATCCATGACATTCAGCATCAAGTCTAGTGACCATCAACCCACACCTTGAGTGTCACAAGTAGAACTCTGGAAATAATCCGTACACTGACTCTTTCCATTGAAGTCTTACTATTACAATGAGTTGGAATCTTGTTGGTGGCCCTTGACAAATTGTCATCTTAATGTTCTGTGAATTGCTGTATAGTAAGTAGCATATGTTGCTATCCCTCTGTAGCTCAATTGGTAGAGCATGGCACTTGTAACGCCAGGGTAGTGGGTTCGATCCCCGGGACCACCCATACGTAAAAATGTATGCACACATGACAGGAAGTCGCTTTGGATAAAAGTGTCTGCTAAATGGCATATTATATTATTATTATATATTCCCAAATTCCCTTTCCCTGAAATATGCATTTGCATCACCTTATCAACCACAATGTGTTATACACTGAGTGTACAAAACATTATGAACACCTGCTCATTCCATGACATAGACTGACCAGGTGAATCCAGGTGAAAGCTATGATCCCTTATTGATGTAACTGGTTAAATCCACTTCAATCAGTGTAGATGAAGGGGAGGAGACAGGTTAAAGAAGGATTTTTAAGTGTTGAGACAATTGAGACATGGATTGTGTATGTGTGCCATTCAGAGCGTGAATGGGCAAGACAAAAGATTGAAGTGCCTTTGAACGGGATATGATTTAGTGTCACAGCGCTAAAGAGAGTGTATGTGAAATATATCCATCTATATGCATGAAATGTACATTACTAGCTCCAGCTTTCTTGTTTCCAGAGTAATGCAGAAATAATGGATGCAATGGATGTCTGTATTTGTCACTTTGTGTCCATATCCTACCTGTGTAGATGCAATGCAGACATGCCCACATCCGTTGAAGCAGCATTTTTCATCATTGGGGCAGTCACTGTCATTGGAACATAACTCTACACATATCCCTATGCCCCAACGTCTACGAGGGCACACTCCAGGCTTTGCTTTGGGAATACAATTTGAGCAGACATGTCAAGGAATCCAACTTTCCACAAAGAGACATGAACATGGACATAATTAGACTGAACCATTTTCTGAAAATATGTCATGTTTGTGTGGAGATGGTTACGATAAGTCGGAATTTGCATCTCTGGAAAGATTGTAGACTATACCCTAAATAATTTAGTGTCAAATTAATCATTTTGGAGACATTTGGCCCCCATCATCAATGTTTCCCCCATACCACCCTTGAAAATGCATGACAGCCTTCTGAACACTCACAATCAAACATTGTATGTTAACTAAAAAGGTCTGTGCAACTGGTTATACACAGACACACAAACAGTGCTTTAAGATGCCCAAATAATAACTTCTAGTTTACAGAACATATGAGACAAGTTGAACAAACACATCATTTTATGTTGACTGAATTTTTGCATAAGTTTTCTCAAGTTGGAGCTAAGTTTGGACCCAATTAAAAATGTTATGTTCAGGTAACACTTTGATCGAAAAGTTGAGTAAACTTAAAATGGCTGTGGAACCAGTTACTGAATAATAATTAGTTGAAACAACTATTTTAAAAATTACATTGTATGCGTAAAATGGCCGTACAATTGCCAAGTGTAGGCTGGATTGTTTTAAGTCATAATGGCTGGCTTGTATTTTTAGTAAGGTAGCAACAAAATAGGTTGCAAAAGGGCCTATGCACTATTATAGGCTAGTGTTTCTAACCACATAGGTAGGCTATAACACCTAAGTCAAGTGTAGTAGGCTTCTTAAAAAAACTCAGCAAATTGTCACAACTCACCTGTAGATGTTCCTCCCGTTTCTGCAGCAGAGACTATTTTCAAATCTACAAATGCCAACAGAAATAAAAACAAAGCACAACGCGCTGACACATTCATGTCCATGATGACTTCAAGACTGTTAGAGCAAATACAGTGCAAATCGATTTCATAGAAGAGGAAGGAGACCATGATGTGTAATAAACTTAGATGACTCAAATGGGGCACTGTTTTGAAGCCACCGCACAGCCATTTTGGTACTCCTTATTCATTGTAAAAAAGATTTTGGAAGCTATAGAAATGCATTTATTCATGTCTACATTCGTTTATTGACAAACATGTTCTATTACAGACACCTTAATGCATACTTTAAAATTATATTAAGTGAACCGAACATGAAAATAAAATATTAAGAGAGAGTTAATGTTACTGTCCACACCACAACAAATAACTACTTAAATACATGAAATTGTGTCCTTGAAATATTTTATTTAAATACTGTAGAATTCTGGGGAGGCAAAACCCCCCCACCCGGCTTTCGCTAATTTCACCATGGGCAAAGCATTTAAAGTTTTGATTCACTCATCTACACACAATACCCCTTAATGACAGCGAAAACATGTTTTTAGAAGTGTTTGCTAATTTACATAAGTATTCACACCCATGAGTCAATACATGTTATAATCAACGATTACAGCTGTGAGTCTTTTTGGGTAAGTCTCTAAGAGCTTTGCACACCTGGATTGTACAATATTTGCACAGAATTCTTCAAGCTCTGTCAAGTTGATTGTTGATTATTGCTAGACAGCAGTGGAGGCTGCTGAGGGGAGGACGGCTCATAATAATGGCTGACACGGAGCGAATGGAATGGCATCCAACAAATGTAAACCATGTGTTTGCAGTGGAGACCCGTCATTCAGGGCAAGTGGGGCAGAGACCCACCTGTTTTGAGCCCCACCTTTTTAGGGTTTCCTGTTTTGCATGTTATTTTGATATTAATATGTGTCACATATCAGTTTGCAAACAATGTTATTTTGACATTAATATGTGTCACATATCAGTTTGCAAACAATGTAAAAAAATATAAAAATAATCATTCAGTTAATAAAGCAGCATACAAACTTGGTCTCTTTTTTGCTTTCTGCAGCTGTTTCAGCCTAGCTCAGTGCTTTCTGTGGTGGTGGGGCAGCCAGCGGAAAATATGGAGCGTAGGGGTTGGTAATGTTCTCTAGTTGCGCTGTGATTGGGTTATGTTCTCTAGTTGCACCGTGATTGGCTCAGTGTTCTGTCACTCATGGGGACACTACGTCACCACCAAATCTAAGGGTAGAGCTCGAAAATTCAAGCCCCTTGGGTGCTGCCATAGAGTTACATTAGAAGTGCCCATCCAAGAAGGCTCAAGGTCATTGGTCACAGATAAAATTATGTCAAATCACGTTATATCTACAGTACCTTTGATTGGACTGATCATGTCAACATCATACTTTCAAAATCTTAGCTAGCAGTCATCATCATGAATCAAGTCGACAATCTACTGGCAAATGCTTTTTAATACTTGTCATATGAAGAGAAATAATGAAGAGAAATTATAGATAAAACGTATCGGTGCTCATCGGCCATTGAACATAAACATTACACAACAAGTTGGACATCGCAAATTCAACAATGAGTGGTTTGGAAGGAATTAATGGCTAACTGCAAGCATTGCAAAGCAATCACTAGCCTGCTATTCAGTTGAGTGGGTTTGTGGTTCCAAGTCTGGGTTTAAGGGTCTCTTTTCCAAGCTTAAAAGCATAAACATTCAACATTGGCAGTGCTGTCAATCCAGCATGACTTCTGCCGCGCTCAAAAGAACTGTAAACTCAGTACTGGGATATCTGACTTCAGAGAGTTCAGGACAACTGGGAACTCAGAACAAAAAGAGCTCTGACTGGGAAAATATGTTTTTAACGGTCACCCAACTCGGAATTGCAAGTCGGGAACTCGGGCCTCTTTCTAGAGCTCCAACCTGAAGATCACTGAAGTCATCATGATTCGTGTTTTTCAGAGTTCCCAGTTGTCTTGAAAGCACCATAAATCCAGAGAATGCCAGACTTTGATGAAGGACCGCCGCGCCACCTTCCTGTTCAAGTAAGCACAGCACAACAAGGTGAGTCCAAAAATGTATTGTATGCTGCTGCATAAATGATGTAATATGCCAGGGAGATATGTATACTGTAGCTAAGAAAGTAATACTAAGTGTATGTTGTGTAGTAAGCTGTTAGTAGCCCATGTGCCTCACCCTAATACATTTGGTCCCTTTTCCCCCCTCTTAATTTCGCGTACTGTTCTGACTTGGTGGTGCATATGTAGCCTATAGCCTGTTTTAGAGAAATGTAATCATCGAATATTGTAAGAGCTTTCATTGTTTGCTTATATGCCCCCTTTATTTATCCTACGGTTCTGACTTGGTGTACAGGGATAATACTGTAAGAACGGCCCATTTTCTGAATTCTGTCGCTGAACATTTCAAAAGTGCTGAACAAATAGTTGTATTGACTACGTCCGTCCTAGCTCACTCATTAATGGCTTAATCAAAACTACGGATTGCCTCTTATCCGCTCGTCGTCCCCTTACGCCATCGTTTGTACATCTCAGTTGTCAGTAGAAACCATGTTTGTTTAAGCAATATCAGCTATGTTTTTTTTAAAGGCAGTAAATGAGGCTGAATGAACTGTTTCGCTGCCAGACAAGGCTCTGCTGATTGCCAGGTGTAGCAGTGGTAAGGTGTTGGGACTGCTGTTGGGACTCTGCTGTTGGGACAGCTTTATGTAGGCCCTAACAGTTTGTGGGTACCGTTTGTCACCGTTATAGTGCAATTAATGTATTGTTTAGTGTTGTGTTGTGTAGTGTCTTTGCTGGCATGCATCTAAAATAAATTTTTTGTTTGCCACAAAAAGATTTACATGCAAAATTTGCCACTGTGTGTTTCATGTATTTGATACCATTTCACTTATTCCGCTCCAGCCATTACCATGAGCCCGTCCTCCCCAATTAAGGTGCCTCCCCACCCCCTCTTCCCGCAATGGAATATGTTTTGTTTCAATACACCGTTTAGTAGGTGGCGGCAATACATCAATAGATGTGATCTGCCATGAAACTTTAACGAAGAAGAAGAAGAAGAAGAAGAAGAAGAAGAAGAAGAAGAAGAAGAAGAAGAAGAAGAAGAAGAAGAAGAAGAAGAAGAAGAAGAAGAAGAAATGGTTACCCAGGCCTAATGACGCCACTGTGTAGGAGGCCTGACACCGGGTTAACCCTGGAGAAAATCACTCAAGAAAAGCTCCAGAAAACCATGGCTGAACAAAAATACATAATTATGGGGCGGGATGGAGGACTTCAATCGCCGTTCAAATCTTTGTTTCATAAATTTTCTCGAAAGCTGTTGAACAAACGTGTTACAAATACACGGAGGCTTGTTGTGCAATTAAACTGAACGTCTTTACTTCATATCAACATGTTAACAACTCGTAGAAAACTCACTCATACAATCCTCACGCCTCCGTAAGTGCACAACGTGCCTGATACATTCTTAAGGCAACAGTTTCTATCAACTGATGAAACACAAACGAGTACAAAATACCGGAATGGAATTGCTTGGCAAATTAAAAAACTAGAAATACTTGGGCTAGAGAACTTCAATCAACAATCGTAACGACACTCGAGAAAGACTGGCCACTCAAAATCCCAGCAGCAACCAAGGCTGCAAAGTGCCTGAACATATAAGGACAAAGAAAATTATAAACTGTAAGCACAAAGGCAAAGCATATTAGCTGGTAAGCCACAATCACAAACCGGTCATTGACAGATCTGAAAAATAATTACCCCACTAGGAAAAAAGCTAACTGGAAAAGATGAATCTGTCACTGTGTAACAAACATCAACGAGCATTCGAAAAGGCCCAAGAGAGACACCAGAACAGCAAAAGAAGCACATTGGATAAGTCTTGAAATAGGGGACAATGGCAATAAACCGTATAGATCTACAAGACAGACATCTCAAGAGACTAGGTAGCCAGATGAGGGCATCGATATTAATTTAACTACTGTATGAGGTGAGATGGACATGAACCCACACGAGACATTCGACAAAGAGAAAAGCTTAATGGTATGTGAATGCCTATTCACGCCTGGGACCCAAACCACTAGCAGTCAAATGAATAAACAAGCAGCGCCCACTCATCCACAGGCCCTGCACTACACGTCGAGCAAAAGAAGCTCACACTTCATTCTGGTAGGCTGGCAAGCGACGAACAGGTGGAAAATGCAATGAAGGACTATAGCTACGGACAGCCTCAAAGACAATGAAAATGGGCAAGCATGACACCTTTTAAGACCTACTGAACGACTGAGGTGCTATGCTGGACATTCTCAACCCCCACCGAAGGCAAAAGCAAAGGTGGAAGTATAATGCCTATTTCACACGCGATGTGAAGACCACCGCATACAGTCACACGTCTGAAATGTAACAACAGTACTTTAATCGGCGTCTTCCCATACTAGTCCACATTTTGGTCTTTGCCCATAGGCACTGACACAGCTGATTCAAATAACGAACTCCTCATCAAGCTTTTACTATTCTAATGTGTAGTGCTAGGGCAACAACCAAAAATGAGTTTGGAAAATGCTGCTTTAATGACTATAGCCTATGCAGCCTAAATTACAATAATATATATTGTAGGCTATAGCCATGACACCTTTTTTAAGTAACAAACTGACAGGTGAACCGGACAACATGAGGATTGCTATGATCTGGACAATTCTCTTTGAATGCTCCCCAGCCGATAGGCTAAAATGGCTGAGTGGGTGGGAAGAATATAAATAGGCCATATTTGAAAAAAGACTGTGAGAGACCAAATGTCATACAGTCTATTACGCTGAAATTGTAAGCACACAGTACTTTAATTTCCGTTGCTCTCTCCATTCTTTTTCTAATTTTATTTACTTTTGCCCTATTAAGGCATGATAATGGAGAAATTGATATATGAATTGAAAAATATGTGTTGTCAATGTGGGCAACAATATCATCACGTGTCAATTATCCTTTTGTTTTTATTCTCCCAAAGAAAGTATAATGAATAATGTTAATGA